TAAGTGGTGAGGTAAAGATGAATCTGAGATTTCTGATACTCGCGAAGAAGTTTCATTTTCAAAATTTTTACAACTTCAATGGAGTGCTGTTCTCGACCAAAAAATGCACACATAATTTCTACCAACCTGTCATATTTTAATAAACATTTTTTAGCTTTTATTGTATTTTTTTAAATCTTACTTAAAAAGACATATTTTCCAGTACTTCACCCCAGCTCTTCAGTGCTCATACGACCCAGAAGATCCTCGCTCATGGAAATCAATTTGTTTAAAATGCAATTAAGTCCGTTGCCTCCTCAGTCCTTTAAAGGTGCGAGGTGCGAACACACGGTGCAATATTGCACGCAAAAAATTTGAATCGGAGTGACATGTTACAACAAAATCACGCAACAGCCTATTATACTAAGAAATTTGGTTATAAATTTGCGGTTATAAATTTGGTGCAAGTTGATTGGCTGGAAATTTCAACAAGCTGAACGCAATGTTGCAGCCATGTTCACACGATGAAATTTTTTGCTCGCAATGTTGCAAGATTAGAGCGCGATTCAACTTCAGATTTGTTGCACTCATTCAATGTTGCGTACAACAAGTGTCAGGGGTAGACTCTGCAACAGTCCTGCATRTTGCATGCAATGTTGCGTGGGGAACAAGTTTCAGAGGTAGACAAGCTGCAACAGTCTTTTTGCGTGCAATGTTGCACCATGTGTCCACACTTTATTAACTTGCTGCTCCTGAACGTATTTTCAAGACACTGACTTTATTAATTTTTTTAATAAGGGTCGGCATTAATTGGCCTTCGCTGTTGCGCTTTATTTGCCTCAGAACATGTATTTATACTTGTATCTTTTTTATTATTTTTATTTTTATTTTGAAATAAAATATAAATAAAAAACAATAATTCAATTGGCACTTCAACTCGACAGACCACGCCTGAAGAAGTCTGGGACTTCTTCCAAAACCAATAGTTCACACTAATCTTCCCCCAGAAAAGCAGGATAAAAACAGATAAAAGTCAAAGCCGTTATCATACAAAATATCACTGTTTAACAACTTCGAAAGCATTGTAGCAGCCTTATTCAGAGCTTGGGATACCTGTGGACTGGAGCACGAGATGATTTCGCGCCTTCGCGCGCAGTCAGTTGTGATGCAAATTACGTCACAAAAAGATGATAGTGCAAAGGTTGTCCTCTTACCCTTTCGTTATGTTTCCGTTAATACTCCAGTTTGATGCTTGAAAAAAATAGGTTTCTTGAGAAGTTATTGTGCAAAATTGCCGCAATTTTCGAGGATGTGGTCTGAAAAATACAATCCTTTGGTTTGCTTTGATGCTTTATATTCAACTTCTGAAGGACAAAGCCTGGAAAACTTAGGTAAAATTTATTTCTATATAATATTTTCTA